AGTAACACTTTCAGTTTATTGAGAAGACCGTTACAATTGGTTTTCGAAATTGTTACATAGTGTTACAATAGAGAAAAGGCAACGCCAGCGAATGTAACCACACAAAACTGTTACATTTAGGAGAATGTAACAGACTTATAGACCAATAGTAATGAAATTGACAGTTACAAAAGGCCTTTAAATGTAGTAGTGTATCTGTGTTGCTGAAAGGGGCAATTTGTGGTCTTACTTTTATGTTTCAACTACTTTCCCTTAATTGGCTTCATTGTGTTTTATAGCCTGTGTTAGGCTATGAAAAGGATAAAGAAAATTCCAAGGATATTATGTTCTTAACTTCTTAATTTCTTTAAAAAAAAACCAGAAATCATGATGCTTTTAGTGAAATATACTAAGGAGTTAGGACATAAAATCTACTTCACTGAAGGATGTACCTATTGTATATATAGTATATGTCGTCCTCAGTTTATTCTCTCTTCAAATACTCTCTTTGTTTATACAAAAATGTAAAACTACGCTTTAATTAAAGTGTTCAGCTTTAAATATTATGGAGTATTTATTTATGGAAAATCGGAAATTTTAAAATGTGAATTCCCAGAATAACATTATTTTGAATACATTTAGTTTGAATAAGTCTTTCCAATTTGTAGTCTAACACAGAATCTTCAAGCAAAATACTATCCTCCGTTCTTTTTTAAATCACATGTTGAATTTTACATTATTCACATTTTTTACGTTGACTACATTTTATGCTATTATTTTGTGAGAATTATTTTTTTTAAAAAAAATATTGTTCAATTCATCTCATTACAAATTTTCTAAATCTGATTTTTCATTTTTTTACTAATAGAGATTAAGATATAATTAAAGTCAAAGACGTGTGTTGGCAAATATGAAATCTTGACCGTTGCAACTAAAAAAGAACGGAGAAAGTAGTTAAAACGGAGTACTCCATATATATTATGATGCATGTACGATTAGTGGTACTTTACATGGTACATCATTTTATAATTTTTATCCTAATATGTGATAAAAATATCAGGTATGAAGCTTAATTATTATCAATACGTTTTTATAGCGTTCAAAAGAAATTAATATTTATGATTTATGAACTTCATCCCGTGCAACGCACGGGTGAAAAATCTAGTACGTAGTAGAAAAGAAGTTATGCATGGGTATAATTGTCCACAACTGTTCAAAAATAGGTGCGCAAAGAAATACTTGCGGTGCGCCAAGAAGACCTGTATTCTAATTTTGGAGAAGACATTTTCCCGCTCACTTTTTCAGCCGCACGATGCACTAATCCACATCTATGCCTCACTTTATTTTCTTATCGATTCTCATATTTTTCATTTCTCCTTTATCTGAGATCATCCCACTTCACTCCCCTTCTTCGTTCAAACTTCAACCATCTCAGTCGTCTATGTTCAGATTTCATTCAATTATTTCTCACATCTCTCCTACGTTAGAAATCACTTTAGTTCGGACACATTAACCAGAATTACTTTTGTAAATAATCGGAGTTCATGCCTTCATGGAGCTCAGACGCCTTCAATTTTTCCTTCCTTGCGAATGAAACTAAACCATAATTTCTCCTAAGTTATCTCAATTTCAAGATGAAGGATTTAATTTGGAGTTAAAATAGGAGCGGTGTTCGCTAGAATTCTGTGTTGCTGAAAGGGGCGATTTGTGGTCTTACTTTTAGGGTTCAACTACTTTCCCTTAATTGGCTTCATTGTGTTTTATAGCCTGTGTTAGGCTATGAAAAGGATAAAGAAAATTCCAAGGATATTATGTTCTTAACTTCTTAATTTCTTAAAAAAAACCCAGAAATCATGATGCTTTGTGAAATATACTAAGGAGTTAGGACATAAAATCTACTTCACTGAAGGATGTACCTATTGTATATATAGTATATGTCGTCCTCAGTTTATTCTCTCTTCAAATACTCTCTTTGTTTATACAAAAATGTAAAACTACGCTTTAATTAAAGTGTTCAGCTTTAAATATTATGGAGTATTTATGTATGGAAAATCGGAAATTTTAAAATGTGAATTCCCAGAATAACATTATTTTGAATACATTTAGTTTGAATAAGTCTTTCCAATTTGTTGTCTAACACAGAATCTTCAAGCAAAATACTATCCTCCGTTCTTTTTTAAATCACATGTTGAATTTTACATTATTCACATTTTCTACGTTGACTACATTTTATGCTATTATTTTGTGAGAATTATTTTTTTAAAAAAAATATTGTTCAATTCATCTCATTACAAATTTTCTAAATCTGATTTTTCATTTTTTTTATTAATAGAGATTAAGATATAATTAAAGTCAAAGACGTGTGTTGGCAAGTATGAAATCTTGACCGTTGCAACTAAAAAAGAACGGAGAAAGTAGTTAAAACGGAGTACTCCATATATATTATGATGCATGTACGATTAGTGGTACTTTACATGGTACATCATTTTATAATTTTTATCCTAATATGTGATAAAAATATCAGGTATGAAGCTTAATTATTATCAATACGTTTTTATAGCGTTCAAAAGAAATTAATATTTATGATTTATGAACTTCATCCCGTGCAACGCACGGGTGAAAAATCTAGTACGCAGTAGAAAAGAAGTTATGCATGGGTATAATTGTCCACAACTGTTCAAAAATAGGTGTGCAAAGAAATACTTGCGGTGCGCCAAGAAGACCCGTATTCTAATTTTGGAGAAGGCATTTTCCCGCTCACTTTTTCAGCCGCACGATGCACTAATCCGCATCTATGCCTCACTTTATTTTCTTATCGATTCTCATATTTTTCATTTCTCCTTTATCTGAGATCATCCCACTTCAGTCCCCTTCTTCGTTCAAACTTCAACCATCTCAGTCGTCTATGTTCAGATTTCATTCAATCTATTTCTCACATCTCTCCTACGTTAGAAATCACTTTAGTTCAGACACATTAACCAGAATTACTTTTGTAAATAATCGGAGTTCATGCCTTCATGGAGCTCAGACGCCTTCAATTTTTCCTTCCTTGCGAATGAAACTAAACCATAATTTCTCCTAAGTTATCTCAATTTCAAGATGAAGGATTTAATTTGGAGTTAAAATAGGAGCGGTGTTTGCTAGAATTCTGTGTTGCTGAAAGGGGCGATTTGGGGTCTTACTTTTAGGGTTCAACTACTTTCCCTTAATTGGCTTCATTGTGTTTTATAGCCTGTGTTAGGCTATGAAAAGGATAAAGAAAATTCCAAGGATATTATGTTCTTAACTTCTTAATTTCTTTAAAAAAAAAACCAGAAATCATGATGCTTTTAGTGAAATATACTAAGACTATGTTTGCATTTGCTTTTTAAAAGCACTTTTCAGCTTATTTGGATGCAAAAGCTAAAAATGGTGTTTTCAAACCAAAAAAATTGCTTAAATTTAAGCGCTTTTCGTCAGAAGCTGTAAGCAGCACCGAGGTTGCTTTTAACTGATTCTGGGTTATTTTGTAATATCATTGAAGTTTAAGGATAGTTATATCCATAGCTTTTCCATCCGTATCCGAAACTACCCTTTATCTTCTTTGGCCTTCTCGATCGAATTCTTCTTCGTTTCGTAGGCAGAGCATCAGATGAAGCAGGAAATCCGGTCCTCTGCTAGATTTGTTCATTTGAGTTATGAAATTTACTCTCAATTTCATTTCAAAAATTTCACATCTCTCCTACACGCACGACCATACATGCATACATGGGAGAATCACATGTTTAGATACCAATTTGAGAAATCACAAAGAAGGTAGTGATGTTGTGCATTTGCCATTTGCTCGTTGGAGAAAGGGTGTGGCCAGGACCTTCTGCGGGTCTCTTTAAAAATGGGGTGCTAAAACAGTAAAACTGCTAATTCAGACATTCCGCAGGCATGACGCGTGTGTTCGATTGGAATATATGAAAATTGTGTTTTTGAGGTCATTTTTGTACTTTTCCAAAAATATTACACTACAATCACTTTTTTATCAAACACTTCAACTTTTATCCTTAAATTAAAATCACTTCTATTCTCAAACACTACATACTTTTACTACAAATCACTTTTTCAATAATCACTTTAAAAAATCACTTTTGAAAAGCACAAGCAATCGCAAACACAGCCTAAGGAGTTAGGACATAAAATCTACTTCACTGAAGGATGTACCTATTGTATATATAGTATATGTCGTCCTCAGTTTATTCTCTCTTCAAATACTCTCTTTGTTTATACAAAAATATAAAACTACGCTTTAATTAAAGTGTTCAGCTTTAAATATTATGGAGTATTTATTTATGGAAAATCGGAAATTTTAAAATGTGAATTCCCAGAATAACATTATTTTGAATACATTTAGTTTGAATAAGTCTTTCCAATTTGTTGTCTAACACAGAATCTTCAAGCAAAATACTATCCTCCGTTCTTTTTTAAATCACATGTTGAATTTTACATTATTCACATTTTCTACGTTGACTACATTTTATGCTATTATTTTGTCAGAATTATTTTTTTAAAAAAAATATTGTTCAATTCATCTCATTACAAATTTTCTAAATCTGATTTTTCATTTTTTTACTAATAGAGATTAAGATATAATTAAAGTCAAAGACGTGTGTTGGCAAGTATGAAATCTTGACCGTTGCAACTAAAAAAGAACGGAGAAAGTAGTTAAAACGGAGTACTCCATATATATTATGATGCATGTACGATTAGTGGTACTTTACATGGTACATCATTTTATAATTTTTATCCTAATATGTGATAAAAATATCAGGTATGAAGCTTAATTATTATCAATACGTTTTTATAGCGTTCAAAAGAAATTAATATTTATGATTTATGAACTTCATCCCGTGCAACGCATGGGTGAAAAATCTAGTTGTCAAATAATAAGAGGTCTTCTAATCCACGTAATATCATGTGAACTCTTTGGATCTTAAAATATGAAAAAGACTTCCAATGCATCAAGTCCCGGTAGAAGTCTAAATGAACGACTCCTGTTTTATGCAAACTAACTTCCGGTTTTGCTTTCAAATTAAACTTCCAGTTTTGCTTCCGTTCAACATTCACACGCAAGCAAAGAGGTACGGATCATGTTCTCCTATTTAGTTTATTGATTGCAACAATTGAAGATCCAAAATCAGATCAATTTTCAGTCCATCTATATATTTATATTCTGATTGCATTATATTAAAACCGGAGTACTTAAATGCAATTGGATGTGTGTATCTATGCGTGTAACTGAAACATGTGTGTGTTGATTCGGGTCATATGTTTTTGATTTTGTGTGATGAATTTGTTATGCTTGATGACTGATCTGTGATCATATTTTATCTTGTTTTAGAGCTCTACTTATTATGAAAAAAATAGGTGTATCGCTTTTGTTAAAATAAATTGATGATAATTTGACATATAAAACGAAATAGTCTAGAGGTTTTATGGTTTGATAGGTGAGGATGCACCAAACTTTTCAAGTTCTTGCTTGGGTTTATACTTTTATATATTACGTATATAAATGGGAGCTTTATATGATCAGTATGTGTGTGTGTATATATTTGAATATACATTTTGAATACATTCAAATTGAACTAATATGAACAAATTCCTAACCATTGATAACCATGATTGATTATATTATAACCTTGTTTTGTTTTGTTAATACAATGTGTGTGAAGGATATGGACGCATCAAGTTTTGGATCGGGCACTAAAAGTACACCTTCAAGTGAAAATGAGCTCTCACTTACCAAGAAACTCTTAAATGGTCCATTGGAAGATGATGCACTAAATGTCGAATATAGTTCAAATGTTCCTTTAATTGTGTCATCAATGTTAACTGCTGCGAAATTCTCTCTTAGCAGCTTAGGTTCTGGCAGATGCTATATTCGTCGAGATAGAAGAGAGCGTCATGACATGATAGTCAATGACTACTTCAAAGGAGAAAACTCCAAGTACACCCCCGAACTTTTTCGCAAAGCCGGCTTTATGGCCATTTAGGCCAGGCTTGTGCCTAGGGCCTCCAAAATTTTAGGGGCCTCCATTTTTTTTTTTGCCTATTACTATTATAATTAAAAATTAATCTTTGAATAAAATAATTGAAGTTGAGCTCACGCAGAAGTGCAAACACAGTACGCAGGTCGAGCAATTCTGTATATTCTATCGGTTTTCCGTCAATTACTTGTCTAAATTAATTTGTTACAGCTTTGCTCAATTGCTCTTTATAGATGTAGCTTTTATGGCGTTGTAGTTTTTTTACTTTTTACTCTTATACTCCGTATTTAAGAAACTGGCAGGGGACTCTCAAAATAATTAAGAAGTAAATAAACTGGCAGGGGAGCGAGGGACTAAGGACGGCTAGTTTAATTGTTTAAAAGTTAAATTTTTTTAATATTTACTCCGTATTTTAAAGTTTCCTACACTTTTCTTTTTGGGATGTACTTAAAAGTTCTATATACTTCCATTTTTGGTAAGTTTATCCTTTATAAAATATCTGTATTTTAAAGTTTCCTACACTTTTCTTTTTGGGATGTACTTAAAAGTTCCCTACACTTCCATTTTTGGTAAGTTTATCCTTTATAAAATACTCATCAACTACCCTACTTTATCTACGTTTTATCTTCTCTTTCATACTTTTACACACTCTCCTACACTTTCTACACTATTCACTATACTTACTATTCTATCCTAAAATTTTGTTCCAAAAGCAAATGTAGGGCGTAGGGAACATATTAATACTGAGGAAGTATGTCTTTAGACTTTCATTTTAGTCTTTTTTAAAAGTTAAAACTGCTCGTTTGCACTAGTAAGTTAATTATGGACAAGTGAGGACAGAGGTTTAGGATTGGTGCACTAATAGTTTGCACTAGTAAGTTTAGGACTAGCGTTTCTCTTAATTATTAATATGTATTTTTATATTTTTATAAATATTTTAAATATGTAAGTATTGTCATGACGGGCCGGGTAAGCGAAAAATTGATTCCGGTTCTACAAAGAGAAAGAATAAGTTGAGAAAGGATTCAGTTATTAAATCATTTGTCGGGTCTATGGATCAGTATATAAAGACAATTCTTTCTTCCTCAAGTACGTGTACTTGAGAAAGGACTGGGTATTAATTAAAAAGTACATTATTAGTGTATCTTATGTATGTTAAATTTAAAACTTTATTATTTTGAAATTCACAATATATGTTGTTTTTGTACTTATTTTATCTTTTTTTTCTTGATTGTATGTATTTTATACAAATTACATTCATATGATATTATGATATGTTTTTTTAAGGCTTTTGTGAAGCTTTTCCGCCTAGGGCCTCCAAACCGCTGGAGCCGGCCCTGCTTTTTCGTCGTAGATTTAGAATGAGCATCGAATTATTCACCCGGATTTTACAAGGTTGAGAAATATGATAATTATTTTCAACAAAAGGTTGATGCTGTTGGAAATATTGGTTTGAGCCCACTACAAAAGATGGTTGCGGCAATTCGTATGCTTGCATATGGTTGTCTTGCTGATCTTCTTGATGAATATGTTCAAATCGGAGAAAGTACCGCAATAGAAAGCTTAAAGCGTTTCTGTGCAGCTATTATAGGGTTTATGAAGAACAATATTTGAGAAAATCCAATAAGGATGATATTAGAATGCTTCTAAGGGAAGGAGAGTCCCGAGGCTTTCCAAGTATGCTTGGTAGCTTGGATTGTATGCATTGGCAATGGAAAAATTGTCCCACTGCTTGGCATGGCACCCACACAAATGGGTTTAAAAGAGTTCCAACTCTTATTTTGGAAATTGTAGCTTCACAAAGTTTATGGATTTGGCACGCTTTCTTTGGAATGGCTGGTAGCAATAATGATGTTACTGTTTTAGATAGATCTCCATTATTTGATGATGTGATTAATGAGGTTGCTCCACCATGTAATTTTGTAATTCAAGGTAATGAGTATAATATGGGTTATTATTTAGCCGATGGGATATACCCACAATATGCAACTCTCATCCAAACAATATCTCATCCTTCATCTGTCAAGGAAAGGTTGTTTGCAAAACGACAAGAATCTGCAAGAAAGGATGTAGAACGAGCATTTGGCGTGTTACAAAGTCGATGGCATATTGTTAAAGGTCCGGCCCGTCTATGGAACGCTAAAGACTTGGGAAAGATAATGAAGACATGCATCATCTTACATAACATGATTATTGGGAATGAGCGCGGTCAAGGCGTTGATCCGGAAGATTGGGAGGCCGAAGGAGATGAATCGGGTGAAAGTGTTACACTAGAGCATGATTTTACCTTAATTATGTCAATGATGATTAATCGAACAAAACAAATACAAGCTACGTGGCTGCACAGGGATTCAAAAAACGATCTCATCAATCATTTGTGGGAAGTTTATGGTGGTCAAGCTTTTGAAGGATAATTCCAATGTAATGTTTACTTTTTATGGATAATTTCATTTTATTATTTGATTTTATTGGATATTATTAGTTTACTGCTTCGTTTTTATGTGTCATATTTTGCTTGCTTTTGATGGATTGTTTCAGTTTTTGTGTAACTAATCATTATAAGTTACATATATTAAGAATATTGTTTACAAGTTAATTAGTGATTAGATTTTGTCATCACGTTTAATCTTCTCAAATCTGATAATGTAGTTATTGTGAATAATAATAGTCATTCCCTTGGTCTCTTTCTCTCTGTACCCATGCTGGGTTCTTGAAGTATAGACCACCAGTTGGAAATGCCGCTTGAGGCAGCAGATACAAGTTCACCTACAATCTTTTGATATGCATTGAAGCTCAAAGTTCATCAAGATTCTTTCATTCAAACCAAGAAAAAAATACACAGGTTTATTTGTGTTGGTATTATTAACATAAAGAATCTTATGGTTGCAGGACTACTATACAATAACATCTAATGCAAAGAAAAACAGATTAATAATCCGGCAGAGAGCTAAAACAGATTAAGTCAATGGTTGATTAATAACATCTAATGCAAAGAAAAACAGATTAAGTTCCAACATACGTAGTAATTATTCTAAAGTCAATGGCAGATTGAATTAATCATCAAACACATTAAGAACAACACATTCATAATAAATTTAATCCAAGCAATAACATAATACGAGTAACATAATAAATATCAGTTCACAGCTGAACAAATTAATAAATCCAGTACTATGTAAAGGATAAAAAACTACTTAATAAATCCAGTGTAAATAATAACATATTTAGACTATCCAGTACTATGTAAAGAATAAAAAAGTACTTAATAAATCCTCACTATTTTTCGATTAAGAAAAGCTGCCAATTTCCCATTCCTCCAAGATTCGAGCTTGTAAGATTTCATATTTAGCTCGAACAGTTGGCTAAAGCGTACTCAAATTAAGATTCATTATGCGTTCTTGATCAGCTCTTCTTTTATCATGCTCTTTTAGCTCTATCTCCTTTTTCATTACTTGCTCTCTAAATGCACGCTCATTCATTTGGTTTTCCTTCTTCATCTCCAACTCGGCCTTATTATATTCTATTTGCTTGTCCAAGGTACACTATAATTTATTTAGTGCTTCAACCACTCCGTTTTCAGAATTAGGCTTTCTTTTTCGGTCTTTGGCACTTTTCCTTCCCAAGGGCCGCACAATTCCATCAGTTTTGACTTGCTCAGGTTCCATAGACTGACTTTCTGGAATCAGTGGGGTGTCACGTACTTCTGTTGTGGTTTTTTTTATCTGAAGAGCTTTTATCTAATGCAGAAGCCTTTATCTAATGCAGAAGCCTTTGAGAGCTGAGTAGTACACCATTTTGGGTTTGTTATCAAAAGCTCCCATCAATGGATATACTTGGATTCTTTTTTCTTTTTATCGCTGAACTGTCTCTCATACATTACCAATGCCCTCATTTTCTGAAATAAAAAGAAGTGCATAAATCACACTGTAAAGTACTTCTAATTCCTTATATATTAGTGAAAATTAATATATGAAAGTAACAGTTACCATGTCTTCTGGGTTCGAGCCACTTTGGGGATGCCTTTCAAGTTTCTCGTAAATTGCATGGAATTTGTTCACTGCCTTTTGCATTTTATTCTACCGGCATTGAAGGCTATTACTACTTCTAGCCTTGCAGCTTTCCCCCATTTTGTCCTTCCAAACTTGAGAAATCCTCTCCCACATTGCTGTGCTTTTCTGATTATTACCAACATCAGGATCCATAGAAATGTTTAACCATGCTTCTGTTAAAGGAATATCTTCTTCTAAACTCCAATCTTCTCTTTTTATAGTAGTTGATTGAGAACTGTTTAAATTATTTTGGATATCCTTATGTTTCTTTCTCCCCCCTCCGGATGCCCAAGGAGTTTCAGTGGCTCCACTAGAGAATACGGGAGTGTTCAAAAGATTTTGGAACGAGAATGGAGGCCCATAAGATAGGTTGGTATAAGGAGAACAAGAACCATTCATGGGATTGAACTGATATGGGGGTTGGAACGGAGGGCTGATTGAAGCAGGGGAGGATCTATGTACAGGCTATGGTAGGCTGAAGCCCAGGGCAACTTAGAAATTTTTCAATTTTTTTAGTGTAATTTTTTTCATTTTTCACATTTAGCCCACCCCTTTAATATTTAACTCTAGTATAATTTCTATTCAGCCCAGGGCATCTAAGATTCCTGGATCCGCCCCTGGATTGAAGTAAACTGGTTTGGTGCTTGATTTGTGTAGTTAACATGGGTGGGATTTTGGGAGCTCGGCAATAGGCTAGACTCGGGATCCATTTCTTGTACTCTCTGTCTGTACATCAAGTAAATAAAAAATAAAACAATTTATAATCAGCTGCTAAATTACATAGAGAATACATCAAAATAGAAGTAGCACAATAAAACACAATTATCATATAGAGCTAGCGAAGTAAAATGACCATAAAATGTCAATGGAAAAATCTGCAAAACCCCCAACTATAATGAAACACTACCATGTTTAATGGGTAAATGAAGAAATAAAAAGTTTGTAAAACTAATCAAGGAGTGTTACACAGTCACCGACTCAGCATAGTGGTATGATTGTAGTTATCAAGCATAG